GTGTGTGTGTGTGTGTGTGTGTGTGTGTGTGTGTGTGTGTGTGTGTGTGAAAGAGAGAGGGACAGAGAGGGAGAGACAGAGAGAGAATGAGAAGATGGGTATAGTGGAGAGGACTATTTGGGGAGGAGACTATTTGGGAGAGAAATGCAAACACCAAAAGAGGAACGGAGGGATGAGGGAGGATAAATAAGAAAGTAGTTGGACATGTGTGCCTGAAAATGTAAAATAAAGCCTGTCACTTTACTTGATAATTAAAAAAGAAAAAAGAGGAAACAGAAAAAAAGCCTCCAACTTCCTTTGTTGCTGAAGCTTTGCTTGAGGAGAATCACTTTTACATGGTGATGTTATTTATTTTACTTTATTTTACTTATTCTCTGAATGATTTGACTAGTTTATAGAGGGGAACTAAGCAGAATAAAACCAATTCACAATAAAAGAGGCCGAGTGAGTTACACTTAAGGAACACAAATTCAGAAATGAGTGAAAAGAATAAGTGAAATACAACTTTTAATTAAGAATTTCAAAAGTGGGGCTGAAGAGATGGCTCAGTGGTTAAGAGCACCAGCTGATCTTACAGAGGACCTGAGTTCAATTCCCAGCAACCACATGGCTACTCACAATCATCTGGAACTCCAGTCCCAAGGTGTGATAATGGTCTTTTGGCGCTTGAGGAAACTTCATGTACTGCATGCAGAAACACACATGCAGCCAAAACACATATATACATAAGTAAAAAATAGATAGCTAGATAAAGTATATAAAAATCTTAAAATGAATAGACATCAGAAACCCTTGCTCTGACCCATTTGGAATCTCATCTGTTTCTATTAATGCCAGGTGTGATGCTTTTGTAGCATAACAGAAACAGCCTTAGTGGAAGATTCTGGCGGAACACTCATGGATTTAGGTAGTCCGTCCTCTCTAACACTGAGAGAAAGTACCTGTCTAACTGCTTTACAGAAAACATCTAAAGCTGTGCCCTGCTCATTGGTTGTTCCATCACAACACTGCCTGGACTTTACAAAGTTATTTTTATCCATCTGCTACTGATAAGATTCAACATATTCTCTATATCTGTATGTTGTGTCTGGAAGAGGGCAGAGATCCTAAAACCACATATGTTCAGCTGCATCCCTCTGCATCCCACGCACATTCAGAACTTGCCTGTCCTCTCCTGTCACTAAAAGAGGGGCAAGAGCTCATTCCTCTTCTAAATATCAAAATTACAAATATGTGGGAGTGACTCTAGTGAGAGAAACTTTCATGATAGAGGTAACAAGTCAAGCTGCGGAGTGGGACCAGGAGAGCAGCCTTCCGATCTGCTGTGAGCATCAGCAGCTTAGCTCTAAACTGTAGTCTGAGTGTGTTCTTCATACCGTTTGCTCTGTTTCCAAGAACTCTTTCTCATCTCATCAGCCGTAACCACCTGATGGCAATCGCTTACCTTACACATAGCTTCTGAGGAAGCTTCCAGCTTCCAGACACTTTTCTTGCTGTGCCTCAGCAGCGTATCGGGTTGGAGGAAAATGCACCAAGTGATTTTGGCACACTTTGATTTTGACACAGCAGATCCTCCCTTGCCTAGATTCAGTGAGCTTTATAGCTATGTTTCTGGGACCTGTACAGAAAGCCCACTTTCACTTGCAGTCATCCTTTTAATCAGGTGGGCTTCTCTGCCTCCACCTCCACATGCAATTTCCAAACACCCACTCAATTATTATGCCCCACAGAGAAGTAGATATAAACTTGTTTCTGCCATTTAGACAGATTTTCTTACAATTAAAAACAAACAAACAAACAAACAAACAGTGACTCAGTAAGTGAAATGCGATGGGAAAGATGTTGGCTGAAAAGTGAAAATGAAGTGAAAGGTTAAACTACAATGCTCCCATGACTGTGAATCATAGGCCAGTATGTGAGTTTAAAATTGGTACTTTCCATTGCAGCAGAGAGAAAGAAACTGTATTTCATGCTTTTGTTAAGGTAGCAAGTGAATATATGATGAAAGATTATTGGAAAGTCCATATGCGACGGGTGCGTTACTATCAGCAATCATTTTTTATTGTCACCAACAGATTGAATAAAGGCCATTGTAAGCACGAAGATCTAAGGCAAGAGTTTATTCCCAAAGGATAAACAATTACAATTGTTTAAAAAGGGTTAGTTGAGATATTTCTAGAAGCCCCTAGAAAGTGGTGTTTACTAATATGCTGTTGGATCGGATGCTCCCTTGAGAAGCCAAGAGAAGCCAACTCTTTGCATCTGTGCTCACAGCTATTTTTAGAAAACAACAGCATTTTTCAAACCAAAGGGAGAAAATACTTGAAATAGTAGCACTCAGAACTCAAAGACATTCAGTGGTTAGGAATGGGGAGTTGAAGCACAGATTGAGGAAGAACAGTTAGAATAATGTAAATAAGGCATCAATGGTGTGTGAGGTGGCTCCGGGCCAAGAACATTTAAAATGATCTGAGGATAAGATATAATGAAGAGTATGAGCTTTAGAAATCTAGTGAGATTTTATTCACTTGCTATGATTTTGGAGCATCACAGGAGAAGTATTTTTTTTTTAAGCCATTTTCTTGGCATTCATGTATTTTCATGAAGACAGAAACTAATATGTGTTTTTACGACACGGCTAGTGAAAGTCATTTTTTTTTAAATAAGTCTGCATCGGAAGTAGGTTTGGGAGATCTTTTCATTATTTTTTTCTTCGTCTGATGCTTGTTAGAGAATAACAGGAAAGCAGAGGTCATCAGATTGGACACATGTCTCTCTCAGCACATGTGGCGGAACATGGCTCTCCACCCAACCTCACCAGAGCTGAACATAAAGCCTCCACTCACCACAGGCGAAGGGGAAAGTGCAATGTTGCCTATGGAAGCCTTCAGCTCGTCTACTGTTGCAGCATTCTTAAGGATGTCCTTGGACTGCAAGGGTTTAATCTTGATATTGAACTTCTTGTGCGATTCTTCCTCCTCTTCGGATTCACTTGAAGAATAAAAGTGCTTTCCTTTGGTAGGTAGAACACAGTTAAAGACACTTAGCTCTTTCTTTTGCTGGGGGGTGGGGTATGGGTGAGGACAAGACAAGAATGACTATATGCAGACACAGCAAAAGTAACCTCCTGTGGAGAAAACCAACAAAACTGAGGGAGGAAAAGGTTAGAGTCATTCACTTTCCTAAGAAGCGTATCGAAGAGGACTATGAACTCAGGGGAGCACTGGCCAAAATCCTACCTTGTTTTGTGGCAGTGATCTTTGCTGTATCACACCTGCTCACAGACAAGAACCCATGAGCTTACTCTTCTCCAGACACTGGAAGGCAACTTTAAGGGGTATTTATGAAGAGACTTTGGGCTTTGGAGTTGGACAGAGTAAGGCAAGGCTGCTTGAGTCTTTAGAGAAGAGTTGTTAATGACACTGCTGTATTGGGGTTCAGCAGGCAATCCGGGGTTACAGTGTGAAGGCTGTTTTATAGCACATTTCCCCTACCTCGTCACTTTCTCGCTGTCCCTAGACTAGATCAAGGTGCATGCATGCTTGTCAGCCATCAGGCTGTGCCCTGGCATAGTTATTCATCTCTGAGACCAAGAATAGTAGCTTTGGATATTTCACCACCTTTGTGAGACCTGAATTTAGCTTACTGGTTCCTGACACAGTATACATTTAGGACATTTAAAGAGAAAGGATATAGCCTGGTTCCTCAGGTCTGATGCTGTAACCTTCTTCATCCAGCTCAGGTGAGTTCTGTAAGACACAAATGCACATACATATTACATGCATATACATACACACATACATATATGTAGCAGTAATAATTAAAGAATAGTTGAGAGGAAATTGGGGGCACACGAAGGGCTGGAGACTAGAGAGGGAAGAGTGGAAATAATCTAAAGACATCACTCCTGTTTCAAATCCTCAAAAAAGGGGGAGGGGAAGTGGGGTGAGGTATAAATGCATGTTAAGTGGTTATTATCTCAAAATGACAAAGGAATTGTTTTCCTTCTAGAATCTTCTACGTAAGAATATAGATAAGCCTCTTATTTTAAAGGGCGGAGGACTTCACTTTTGCAAGTGAATGCTAAGCAGTCTATGTTTAAATCTTTATTCAAGGATCTTGGAAGGACCCCAAAGTAGTGCCCATAAAAGAAAAAATTTATCGGGCCTTTCCCACAAGCCACAGACTGTGCTAAGCAACACAGGTGATTGAAAGGCAAACTATTTGCCCTCAGGGAAATGAAAACATGTTCTCTGAGGAAAAAAAAAATCACAAAGAAAATAGCACAAAATAGCAATGCTAGGTATTAAAAATGATGGGTGTAAGACTAAGGAATGTAAAAATGAGGGGTTCAATGCAGATAAAGATGCAGTGTGGTGGGGCGGGGCTCTCCACAGTGACGGGAAGAGCCTGGGTTGAGATACCATGGCAGAAATGGACACTGTGTGACTCACGTGGTGAAGGCTGGAGTAACAAGGACAGACTGGAAAATAAGCTGTATAGGAGTATACACCTCCTATACATCTCCTATAGCTGTATAGGAGGTGGGGCTGGGGTGGGGGATTAGGCAGCAGACCACAGGTGACTTTGTGCTAGGGTGGGGACTGTGTCTTGCTAGGGCTGCTAAAGTTCCTTAGTTACGGTAGAACATGTTTGAGACAGAATGGTGAGGAGATCGGAGGCAAGAGAAAGGATGACTCGTTTAAGATATGAGTGTCACCTCAGACACTAAGACCGAAGCTCAAGTTTTGGTGTTGGGATGGGAGGGACCAAGAACATTTGCAGGGACCGATTGTCAGTTCTTGGTAATAGGAAAAAAGAGGAGGGAAGTTTCTAGAAGATTTCAAGGCTTCTACCCTCTAGTCCTGGGAGAATGACTGACAGATGAATCTAACAGCAGAGAGCTTACACTTTTAGGGAAAAGATGGGGAAGATAAAAAAGGACAGTGTGCATGTTTGGGTTCATAGTTCACTGTCTCACTGAAAGACAGGACAACCTCATTTGGCAAGAATGAGCTCACTAACTAAAAAGGCAACAAAGTACAATCAGATGGCATGGCAGCATGAATCTGACTTGGTCCTTGGTTCCACATGTATAGAGACTGAATCCTCAGCTAAGATGAGGGAATGACCATCATGCGTTGCCCTGCTAATGCTGGGATTGCAGGGGCAGCAGAGGAGAGAGCTCTCTGGCATAAAACCAATTTACATGTCCTATATGGTTAGGAATCTGAGAGTGGTCCAGGTTGGATGAACAGGCCGCTCTATTGTGGTTAATGAAGTTGACGGCAATGGTGCTATGGATTATGGCGGGGGACGGGGGGGAGGGATGTTTGCTCTCAGCTGGGAATCTATCTTTACTTCCTCGGAATCGACTGACACTTGACCCGAGAAAAACTTATACCACAGTTTTCACCTCATAATCCAGGCTCAGCACTTAATTTGTTTGCCTCCACATTCAAAGCTGCTCAGAAGCCTCTAGTTTAGGTGTGAAAAAGTATTTCTGAATACAGGTGTGGGCTTGCTGCATTGCTGGATTGTGCAAGCAATTATCTCAGGCAAAATACCTGGTAACAATGACATCAGCGAAGTGCTGCACTGACTGACTGTGCTGGGTCCCTTCCATCTGGTACTTGGAGGGGCCAGGTCTTGAAGCCAGGTATGACCGTGCTGTGAAACCTCCCCACGTCCTAAACATGGCAGACACTTCCTAATGAAACGTACAGTTCTTCCACTTGGTTCCATGTCCTATTACGTATCTAATTCATTTCAAACTTGTACATAAAGAAAAAAATGCTCTTAATACTTACATATCTTTCCCAATCAATTTCCGCATAAAATCCATTTGGTGCCCCATTGCTTTTCTTCTGTAATAAATTTGAAAATAAATTTAGGAGAGAAACACTCAAATGGAAACAAAACAAAACAAAACAAAACCCCACAATGGAACAAAAGACGCTTAACTCTTAACTGTACTTAGCATGAGCTATCGAAATTCAGCGCTGGAAAGACAGCTTTTTACCACACCTCTGGTAAAAAGTACATCGGTGTGACTGGGTGGTAAATGCCACCACCGTGGCACTGAGATGAGAAGCTTAAGCACATACTGCCCAAGACTGCAAATTGGGCACAGGGGTATCCGCAGCTAGCCGTTAAAAGCCTATTCAATTACTGATGAACCTGTAGGATTTACGTTATGATTTAACTCTCTCTATCTTGAGAATCACTCATACAGACTCAAAATGGAAACCTTAGGCTTCTGTGCTGCTGACATACAAATAGGTCCAGTAGACCCAGAGCATTCAGCTGAGTCACTAATTGCTTAATTATTTTTACCATGACTCAATTGATAAAATATAAATGGAATCAGCTTTGGATTGGTTCGTTCCGCTCCCAGTCACTAAAAATCATGTTGCTATTCTTTCCAAATGGCTCCTCTTATCAAATTACTAAAATAGAATTTGAAGGTTAACGGTGAGTTTCTCCTTTCATGTTTTCTGTGCCTCTTCGAGCACACATTATCACAAGAAGATGGGGAAACCAGCATTGTTCTGTCTCTTGCTTATCTAAGTTTTATTTTGGCTCACAATAGAGTTGTGACATATGAACACAAATACTTGACCAAAGAAGTGGCACCCCCAAGAGGAAATTAATAAGCTTCTCTGTTCTTTTGGACAGAGCACAAATAAGGTTAAGTGATGAACGGTCTATTCAATGGCATTCTTGCATTTAGCACACAAAGCGATGCTAAGTCAGTGAGCCACAGCAGACTTCAGAACAACATTATGGTGACGTGTGGGGCTTGAGGGCAGGGCCTTTCATTTTGCAGTCACAAGTAAGGTCCCCTGCATTACCGTGTATGCTGGTAATTATCCAAGCTGAAAAATAGGAGGAAGTTTTTCACACATGCACAGAGGATTTCTAGAAAACCCAGGAGAGCCATCATCACCCATTGATGCTTACTGAAGTTGACTGGGCATTCTAAGAACAGGCCGTGGCTCCACAGGGGGCAGGTGCACAGCGTGAAAGTAGCATGCTCCTCCCTCACTACAGACTACCATTCCTTAGAGTTCACCAAGTGTTGTACCCGGGTGCGTGGGGCCTGGGCTGACTGCTGTCTTTCCCCCCTTCCTTAGAAAGGTTACTTGTATGCAGACATCACTTCAGTCTTCCCACAGAACTGAAGTCGTGAAGTTTGAGCATCAGTGGCAGTTTGCCCAATTTGTCAAAGGCTTTTAAAAACCTGTCACATTAGCTCTGCGTGTGTGTGTGTGTGTGTGTGTGTGTGTGTGTGTGTGTGTGTGTGTGATAAATGTCACTGTTGAGAACCCGGTCAACTTAATGTGTCAATAACTTCTCCTGGAAACAGGCCTGCCTCCTATTTTCATATGTACAGTTCCTGTTTTACCGATTGTTTTTATATGTTTTACTGCAAGATACCTCAAGACCTTCTTAGAGAGCATATATCACAGCCAACTTCAACACAAAATTTGACATAACAAGAGGGAGTCAAATAAGCCAAATTGACTTCACAGACACAAAGCTGTGGATATTGGCGTCGCCGTGACACTACCATAAATCCACCTTCTGGTTTTTAAATGATTCTTTCGTACAAAGTAATGTGATTATAAACTCAAGGAAATTAGGTAAATTAATGAAACCAAAGTTCGCCTAGTTCCAAAGCTTTCTTCTCTGTTCATATTCTGTGTGTAAAGCTCTTCAAATTCAAGATACTCTACATTTTTAGATAAATAAACATATGTATATATATATGTGTGTTAGTATAGACATTTTTTTATTGACAACATATATTTAACACTTCCTTAAAGAATTTACTAAATCTCTAGATTTGGGCCTAGTAAGCATTTCTTTGTTTTTTTGTGGAAACCAATGGAAGACTTGAGACAAAGGAAAACAAAAACCTAAGGGTATTTTTTTTTCTTTTATAACAGGAATATTACAAAAAAATACTACATTCAAGCACCACATTGTAACAGTATATTTTTTGTCAGATATTCAGCATTACACACACACACACACACACACACAAAAAAAAAAAAAAAAAAAACCACACATACACACACTCTTCGCCTTATTACAATTTGGCAATTTGTTCTGACACATGCTTGTTTTAACAAATACTTCTGTTTCACAAGTGAACATTACCAAATTAAAGGTAAGCCAGGTTTTAATTGGGTTTTTTCTGGGTAAGCACAAGGGAAAGTAATTCTTGTTGTTAGGCACTGAACAAGGCACAGCTCATAGCTAGTGGCTGTATCAGTTTTCAATGAAAGACTTCACAGCAGGGATGGATGGGGTAAAGGGAACATCAGTGGACAGTTGGACCTAAGACTGAAGGCAGCATTGGCTTCTGGACACATAACGGGTGATTATTATTACTATTTTTTTTTATCTTGGAGTCTGAGTAATATATTCTTTTGTTTCCCCCTTTTCTCTTTTCTGAAATTCCACACATTCCTAGCATAACTTTGGTGACCTGAGAATTTGACTGCTTTTAGAGATGGCTGACACTCATGAGGACATTCATCTTGTTTCAATAGGCATTTTTACTCTAGTTGTCATGCCCATCTTCAGATAATGGGATGAGTCAGATTAGAGGTTCTCAACCTGTGGGTCATGACTCCTTTGGGAGGAGGTCAAATGTTCTTTTCACAGGGTTCGCATATCAGATATCCTGCATATCAGATATTTACATTATGATTTGTAACAGTAGCAACATTATGGTTATGAAGTAGCAATGAAGATAATTTTATGATTGGGGCTCACACCATGAGGAACCTCCCTAAGGTTGCAGCTGTGGGGAGGTTGAGAACCACTGTGCTAGATCAGTAACTATAGTAATGATTTCTCTCAATCGCACATTCATTCAACAAAGTTATGTTTTCACCGTGAATGCTCCTCTTTTTGGTGAGGTCAGCCTACCGCTGCACAAAGATCTTAAAAACATGTGACAAAGTGCCAAAATTTTATCTTCTCTCCTCCTAAATAGACTTAAATCACTTTGTAAACAATCTTACAAGGCGATCTTACTTGTCGGATGGAACTCCCTGTAAAGATGAAAATACCTTCTGTGCTGTTCTTTATGTAGCCACTGGATAGTACTGGCTGTACAGGATTTGAAATGTCGTGAATGCGACCAAGGGACTAGATTTTAATTAAATAGCTTCCTACAGCTACAAAGCGGTAGTTAATACATAGCCTGGCATCCTTGACTCTAGGTTTCTTGGCCACGATCACTGGTTTCCACAGGGCAGGGTCCTGCCAAACTCATAGTTTAATTGGGATAGATGGTGTTCATTTTACCAAGTACAATGTTGATATTTATATTATAGTCATTAGAGTCATATTAGAGTCATATATTAGAGTCATCTTTATAGATAGCAGATTCTTTTAAAAACATGAAAAATTTGAATCCCTGTCCTTTGTCCAAGACAAGAGGTAATGCAAATGCAGGTCTTTAGGCTTGATCATTCTTTAAAAGAATAGTCACACAACAGCACACAGGAATCCGCATGGTTGATTTAAAATCTGGACCTGGTACTTTGGAGTTACCTTGATAAATAATTAGGGCTTCTGTGCTTTCCAGATTTTAAGTGGGGATTTTACTCACTGTTTCTACAACCCCTCGGAAATCTTAAACTAAAATCTGTGTCCTTACCGAAGCTTTCTTCCCTCCTTCACGCGCACACTCTGCTTTGCTATGGTAGGGTAGCTCGTGTGGGCTGGGCTGCTGGAATTGATTGTTTTCATGTAGAAAAAAGTTGTTAAAGGATCTGTTTGTTCTTCAAGACACATATAAAGAATCACATGGAGTCAGCAAACATATCACAGTAGAGACAACCTCTAGACCAAATTGTGCAGCCTACCAATCGTGGCAGGGTTCTGTAAGTAAAGAGCGGACTTTGGGGCCCATAATGAGGCTCTATTCAGCAGGCCAGTTTGGCTAAGCCAAGAGAGGGAGTGGGAAGGAAGGAGATTGGCTGGGGCACCAGGGGCCATTTGGATCCTCATTCTGACGGCACTTTGTCTACGAACAGAGAGCAGAGACCAAGACAATAACAGAAAGGAACTGGGCAATTTCTGATTGCACTTCTATTCTGTGAATGAAAATGCCTAGCTCCTCTTTTTCTCCTGATCGCAGCCTACGAAAGGCTAAACACAGAGCTATAGGGCACATGGAGGACAGTTCCAGACCTGTGCCCCTTCCTGCCCACATGTTTAGAGATAAGCAAAACAGATCTCACAGCCAGGGACTCTGACCCTGGTACCCCAGCGTATTCTGGAGAATTAGAAGTGCTTAGGGGAAGTTCAACTGGCTACTCTGCACCAATTAGAGTTTGTCTCTGGGTTAGAGTGCGTTGTCACACGCAGCTACCTGAGGTCAAGACATTGTGACAAACAGCTCTGCCAATGATGGATGGGCTTACACTCAGCCAGTGGGCAGCAAGACACAACCACCTTCACACCATGCAAGCCCTGCCATGCAGCCTCATCCATGATGGGCTCCATCAGGGTCTGGGAAGCCAGAATTAAGTATTGCTACACTGAAGTTTTGGCATGAACTCTTCGATTCCAGACTTGTTTCCAGTTGCTAGTGGAGTACCCCTGTAGCTTGTGGAATTACACGAGTTAAAGGTACAAACACCAGTTCTAGGCCTTGGAAAAGCCATTCGCAAGGTTGAATGCCATCAGAACCACATCCAAGGGGTTTCAGTCCACAGATTCAAAGGTCTTAAAAAAATCATTTTGGGTTTAGAAGAAATTCAGGCTGAGATTTCTATAGACCAATAACAGACATATTCATTCTAGCCCACAGCACTGGGTCTCAGAATTTGGTGGCCAAGTGTTTGGGAGAAATGTGAACATTTTCCAATAGAACTTGTAGCTGACATAAAATTTTCAGATTATCCATGAAAGTGCACTTGTTTTGAATGTAGCTTTTTTTTTTTAAAAAACAAAACAAAACAAAACAAAACAAAACAAAACAAAAAAACAATAGGTCTGTTTTATTTCTGAAAAAAGTGAAATTCAATAATTTCTCTTTCTTATGAGCATTTATATTTATGGCATTTCTAACTAATAATGGAGAGAACACAACTATTAGTAAGTGATTTTACGGGACGTGGGATAGAGTAAGGAGGGCTTAGGGAGACCTGGATGGCTTTGGGCCCATGCCTGAAGCTCACACTCATGGTCATCTTCAAAACTGGGTATCACGGTATATATCCCAGCAGATATTTAAATGGGGGCTCCTCAGAAGAGCAGAGACTTATGAGAGACAATGAGCAGGGGAGAGGGGTTGAAGAAAGAAAAAAAAAAGACAAGACTGAGAGAGTAGGAGAGTAAGAGAAGCTAGGAAAAGCAATACAATGAGGGCAGAGAAGGTGACAGAGCCTGACAAAGGCGTGGATGGAAGGACAGAAGGACCCAGGGAAAGGACAGAGCCAGAAGCAGAGAGAAGACACGGAAGCAGAGAGTACCTGAGACAGAGTTAAGGAGAGGGCTCTGAGCCAGAAGCAAGAGGCGAGGAGAAGCTGAGTCTTCTGGGCCTTTTTTTTCCCCTGCTGAATAGAGCCTTGATTATAGAGGTACCCAAGGTCTGATCAATTTCATTCTATTTTTAATTAAAAAAAAACATTTCATAGCAAGAATCACATGAATGCAAAAGGCACCCCAAAGCTGAAAACTCTTAAATCAAATGCAGGAGAAAAACTCCTGCTATGGCCGCAATTAGCACCCCATTAGGTAGACTATTATAAAGAGTAGGTTTTCAAACTATATATTTTCAACCACCAGGTTTATTTTAGTTCTTGCTCTGGTCCAGAGAGCTTGATGTGTGTCCGTTTCCCCTGAGTAACAGCTGTTCTTTTGAACTCTCTCAATAGGCACCTGATTAGATGGGAAGTCATTTTAAAAGCCAGGGCAGATTCCCGTAAATGCAACATGGATTGCTCCAAGCTGGCATACCTCAGACCTCTTTAAAGACCAAGAAATCTGACAGCCGACTAAGAGTCACTTTCTCCTGAACTGAGACCTAGTGGATGCAGTTTTCTCCTTCTGGCTGTACATTTGGGCATAAGGAGTTTTAAGACCGTCTCCTATTTTTGAATTTAATATAGAGGATGTACTTGCAGCCCAGCTACTCGTGAGGATAGTTCCTTTCAGTTTTATTCGCAAGCAGCTCCTTTATGACTGTGGGGCCGAGTGAGAAGAACATCCTCACACAATGAGCTCTGTGTCACCGAACTGGAGATGGAAGCATCTTCTGTAAGGACTGTTTGACCCGCATCTCCATGGCTCATTTGCTTATGTGCTCTCTGGGGATGAGTTTTAGGTGAACGCAATATATGAAGCCTACCTTGACGGAGACTACACTTACATCTCATGCTCATTTACTAGAGAGAATTAGAATAGTTGGGCTTTCAAAAAGTCCTGCAGGGGAAAGGGGAGGTGGGAGGAAAGAAGAAAAGAGAAAGGAGCGGGGGTGGGGTGGGGGGAGGAGAGGGAAACAGCCTTTGGGAAATTTAACATAGCAGCTATAGAGGTGCAAGCCCACTAAAAATGGTCATTTAAGTACTTACCATTCCATCTCGATCTGGTGAGCCTCTGTAACAGAAAGGAAATTGATAGCAGTTATGAAAAGGAACCATTCTTGCTGCAGTGACTAAAGGACCGTTAGCCATCATCTTCATCCTCCGTAAACCTCACCCAGGAAACAGAAACTATCGAGCTGAGCAACATCCACTCGAGTGTGGGGCTGGGAGCATGTGTGTCAGGCACGGATAGTCTCATCAAGAACTGAAGTCCAAAGGCGCAACAAGCTGGCCACATAGTCCTTAAGAGTCTGGCCCGTTCTTTTTTTAATGACTCGTTTTATTTTAAATTATGTGTATATGTACACGACCAGATCCCCTGGGGCTGGAGCTGTGAGCTACCTGATAGTGCTGGGAACCGGATTTGACTCCTCTGGAGGAGAGGAATTAGCTCTTAGCTGCTGAGACAGCTCTCCTGTCCTCTTGGCCCATTCTTGCTAGCTTCACTAAGATCTATCATAAAACGTGTATACAGATATGTATTCAGAAAACAGATGTGTATTCCTTTAGCTTTTCCCTGTGAACGATCCAGATTGTCTTTTACGGGGTAGAGCTTTTGTGGCAGTTTTCAGCCAGCGCGAGAATCTGTACCTCCTTCCGCATTTACAACTCTTTCAAAGATGCACCAGTGGGGGAAATGAAGGTTGCATTGAACCAAGTGGCGCCCTCTGCTGCTGAATACCGGGGTAGCGGTTCTGTGGCGGCGCGGTGCTGTGATGCCTTGCAAGCAAAAGGTTCAGGGTTAAGATGCATCTGGAGGTTCAGATGTCACCATTTTTAAGTTCTATCACCTTGAACTCATTATCTAATGTGATAGCACAAAGAATGAATGAATACTAGTTCCTGACAGCTGCTAAGCATTCAAAGGTGTCGATTTTAATTTCTTTTGTCGCCCACTGACCTTTCTTCACCAGAAGCACAAAGTACACACTTGCAGCCACACTGTGCCATAGAACAGTGTAAGCAAATCAGTTTTCTTGTTATCGTGGGAAACTGGACTGGCTAAGTGAGGGTCAGTGAGTGGTCAGTGGTGTGGAGGAAAAAACAAAAAAACAAACTACTTGTGTACCCAATAAGGTTCAAAAAATGCAGTTTGTAGTGTTTTAGAACTGCAAGAATTAATAGTTATGCAGTAAAAGGGGCTGGGTTGTGGTGGTGCACGCCTTTAACCCTAGCACTTGGGAGGTAGTGGTAGCTGGATCCCTGTGAGTATGAGGCCAGTTTGATCTACCTAGAAAGTTTTAGTACAGCCACATTACAAAGAAAAATCCCTGTCTTGAAAAACCAAAAGAAAACAAGAAAACAGTATGTAGGTTGGAAGTAGGAGGAATAATAGAGAAAAAAAAAATTAAAGAAGAGCTCAGAAAAAGAAAACAGACATAAAAGCCTGTTCCAGAACGATTTAGATTACAAGGAACTAAATATTACAGATGCAAAGTGTGGATTAAAATAAAATAACAAAGAAAAATATGAAGAAATAGGAGATACTGTACTAGTAGCTTGTACTTCCTTTTAGGTGGGATAATATGGCTGCCCCCATTGCTTTGATAGTTTTTTGTGTAGCTGTCTCTACAGATGGGGAGTGGGCTGCTGTTTTAAATGATCCAAACAAGGTAGATGTTCCCCTTGCTGAGGAGGCTTCTGTGCTAGACACAGATTCGTTGGTATTTCCCAATGGGAGACCCTAGCCATCTCATTACAGCTCTTTCTGGTGTGCTGGGAAGTCTAATCCATTCAGGGCATTTAAGTGTTTTGGAATGAGCATGGAGGGTGTGCACAGACTGTGTTTATCTCTGCTGCTGGTCATTCTCTTCCCTTGAGGATCCTGGCCTTTTCCCTGATCAATGACCCATAATGCCTGGGAATACATGCATCAGCTGGGCATGACTCGGCCCGGTTCAGCGTGTTTCTTGTGTTCTTGTGCTGTTGTTCAGGCAGGGCTGGAGGTGCTGCCTGCTGCGCATTCTTCAGGACAGTCGCCTGCGGTGCTGTGGAAGATTTCAGCTCTAGGCTCCCGCTTCAAGTTTCTGATGGCGTTTCCAGAGTCGGCACTGCCTTGGACTCTCCTCGGTCACAGTGTATATAGTTCAGCAGTGACTTTGCTTCCCAGCATGCTGTTCGTAGGTGGCTGTGCCCAGCAGGCAGCCACCTTCCTTTTGGTGACTGTCATTGGTCCTTGCCCCAGGTGGATTTCATTGGTTCTTTATGTCTGGGTGAAGGTTGGTGGCTGCTCCAGGCTGCTTTCCATTAGAGGATCTCATGGTCTCTTGCTTCTTTCTATGCACTGCTTTTCTCTTCTCTTTTCGTATCTTCACACTCTTCAGCTGCCCTACCACCACCTTTGTGTGTTTCTGATGTTCCCCTATTCTTTCTCTCAGGAGAAGACAGACTCTCTGTCTTCACCAGGCCACACAGAGGCAGCTTTTAACCTGCCATTTTTGCATAATGCCAAGTTTATATAGCAGTCTATCAGAGAGCCAAACAAGCCTTGGACTTGTATTTCATTTTAATAGGTTTTTCCTATTTTTAGTGACAGACACTTTATATTGGATGAATTCTCTTTTAAACCTTGTCATTCATCATGGTTGTGTGGCCTCTAGTTTTAAACGTTGGTTTCTTGTAACTAAAGCCATTTCTCTTTAGTGCTCTGTCTGGGTGACAGTCTTTCCCAGTGTCCTGTTGTCAGCTTTATTGTTTTCATGGCCTTTAGCAAGTTGTTAACCCCGCCTGGCACTGTTTTCTCATCTCTAGAAGTGAGATACTGTTACTAACCTTATTGAATTATGTGAAAATGAAGAAGGATATCAGTACGGTCAAATATTCTGCCACTTAGCCCAGGCTCTCTCCCTTCCTCTTTCTGTCAGCCACTCTAATGATGATCAAATCAGGAAGCTCTGGTTCTTAACCCCCCTCTCTCTGAGGAGGTTCAATCAGCTGAAGTTGGTGCTGGCTGCTACCCTAGCAGGTTGCTTAGCAACCCTCGGCCAGTTGCAACAATTCTGAAAAAGGTTGGCATCAACAAGGTCTCAATGATTGCAGGCTAACATAAGCATTAGCTAAAGCTGAAGGGACAGCACACTGCCAGAGCGTTCTACTAACCCTTTTGTGGTGACGATTCCTTTTCCAGGAATGATACGTGATCCAATTAGACAACAGGGGTTCATGAAAAACAAATGCTTTCCCCAGACAGTGCACCCTTTTGCCATTACTGTTGGGGGAACAAGTTTATTAATTTGCTCTCTTGTAAGTAATTCAACACTCATGAGGGGTTTAAAAAAAGGTGCTTGGGATTCTATGAAGTAATGCCTCGTTAGAGGACCTCAGGGAGACACTGGGCGTCTGAGGCAAAGCCATGAGGAATAACTTAATTTCATAGACTTGGCAATGGAAAAGAAGTGCTTTGGCCACATGCAAATTAGCCTAGCCTGCCCTTGGGCTCATTTAGCCATTCTCCTCTCTCTCTCCTCTCTCTCTCTCTCTCTCTCTCTCTCTCTCTCTCTCTCTTTCTCTCTCTCTCGTGAGTGGACGTAATTTTAAAAAAGTTTTTTTTAGCCCTTTTCAGACACCCGAAATCCCTGGTATAGTTACAGAGAGCCTTCACAGCAACACATTTGGCTTCTTGCTGTGATGTTCTGAGATGCTTCCAACAGAGCTCTGCATAGCTCATGGCCCATGGCGGGTGTGGCTGACAGCCTCCCCACTTTAGTGTCTGGCCTTCTAGGGAACATGGATTTCACCTGGTAGAAAGCTCGTTGTCACAGGTGAGGAAACTGAGGCCAAGTAGGGGACCGAATAATTTCTGGGGTTCAAGGGGTTCAAAGTAACCCACTACCAAGGATGGAACCCTTTAGCTTACAATTTAAGGCTCTTCCTGTCTCACCTCATCCGCTTTCCATCCTTGCCTCTTATCACCACTTTTACAAATAGCTCACAGGTATATGCTTTGTCCATTTGCCCCGTCCTGAATACCTCCTAGACTTCCCACCTCTCTGCTTTTGCTTTTATTATTCTTTTCATGTGAAAGACATTCCCTCATCCTTTAGAAGGCTGGACTCAAGGCCCTCCTGCCATGAAGCATCCTGCCAAATGTGGACTTTCTTACCGTCATCTTTCTCTGAAATTCCCCCTTCATTGCTCCTGGGGAACTCCGCTGATACCAGTCGGAAGAACAGTGGCAGCTGATACTTGTTGAGTGTGAAGGAGCCCGCTGGGCTCCTTACATGTTGCTTCATTTAGTTGTAGGAAAGACTTTTTTATTTGTGTGCTATTTTATTGATCGAATATTATGTATATTCTTGGATAGAAGGGCACAAGAAAATGCTAAGCATCCCCTACCATAAGATTTATATTCAGTTGAAATGAAAATGAGAAGCTCGAAGATGAAAGTGATGAATTATGTTCACCTCTTCACACACAGCTGTGATTTTCTTGTTTCTTTCAGGCATGCTGGGTGAAGAAGGATCCTACTGGATTCCATTCTGATGGAATCGCAGGGCAGGCCATCCTACACCTGTACTTTCACCTCTTCATAGGCAGCTGTGTCCACTTGCTGGTGCTCTCCTTACACTGAGCTAGGACCGATCCATGCTCCTGTCCAGTGGGCTTCATGTACGATGTGACTTGTTCAGCTTGAAAATGCATATGAGATCTCGTGACAGGGCCAGCTTCTGAATGAATGCTCCATATGGTGAAATGAGAACAAAGTGGAATGAACAAGTTCTGCTACTAACATTCTTCAGGGTCTACTGGGGTGTGTAGAGAACCTATTTTCCTGAGTATGATCACTTAACTACATCAAAGCAACCCCATAGTTGTTTTTGACATTGATTTCTTATTGGCAGGGAAATGTACTGAACATATGAACTGATATCATTCTATCTGCTTTACAGTTCTGTGTGTCTGTCTATCTGTCTCAGGTAACAGCTTTGGGGTGACATCTAGGGGTTGGGCTAGGGCAAATCTGCTTACATAGGTATTATATTATTCTCTTGGGTCAGATTATACAGATAATTATAGAAGTATAACTGGGTGTTTTTAACCTCTGAAAACAAAATAGCCATGTTCTCTACCTTTCTTCTTGGAAGAAACAGATTAGATATGAGGCATAAAAAATACATGATAAAAAGATTGAGCGCATGATAAAAAAAATCTCTACCTTTAAAAAGCACAAATACAAGAGGTATTTTATGATTAACAGTGGCAGTTGACCCAGAAATAGGGAACACACACACACACAACAAAAAAACTCAAACACATGCTATCAAAACACACTTTGTGGCACTCTTTAAGTGTCAACTACATCAGGGTCTTGGACCAAAGTTTGCCCCTGGAGACAAACTCTAAGGTACATACGTAGAGTCAGTGTCTTTTTCTTTCTTCCGTATTCCAAAGGCCTTCCTTGTACGTTTTTTCAGTCCTGTGGAAAAACAGCAAAGGGTCAGAAGATAGCAGTACTGGTGAATGTATCCCTGAAGGTGCAGCCAGAACTGTAGAGTTCTGCAGTGCACATGACTCCAGAGACGAGGCCGGGGGATGGGGGATTTCAAATTAAGTTCCCCTTCTTTGCTGAAGCATGAGTTCAAGATTAGTTTGGACAATTTTTTGACATCCTGTCTCAGAGATTAAAAATAAAAAAAGGTAGACAAAAAGAAAAAAGACTAGGGATATTAGGAATATGGCTCAGAGGTTGAGCACCTGGCTGGAACAAACCAGGCAAAAGGAAACCGAAGAGCAAAAGGAAAGTTGCTACATAGCTGTTAAACTGGCGTAGTCAGAAAGCTGTGTCAGCACATGCATGCGCGTGTGAATGCGCCAATGTGACTCATTATTGAAATTTCAACAGGTGTTTGTGAGGGCCTCGGCAGGGCAAGTTCTTAGACTCAGAAGCGCCATAAGGCTGCTGTAACTGGGAAAGATCACGGGCTTTTCTTAGATTGCTGTTATTCATCAGTAAGATCGACACTGCCAAGAAACTGAATCACAGATTTAGAATAGCCATTTCCAGGGTGCATCTGTACTTGAGACTAAAATGAAGAGACAATACTAGCAGATCTATGCACACCCTCCTCCTCATCTCTCGCTCTGCATTCTCCTCTCATCTTTAGCATCATGGCTAGGCTAGAATGTTAACTATTCTCTGAACACACCCCACACTGCTACTCCAGTATCTCCAGCATCTTCATCTCTGGTTGACAGTCACTGCTTAGTTTTATCAACACTTAGAATTGCATTTCATCCTTGAAGTTCGGGCCCCATTGACACATGCTGATGGGACCTATATCAGCCTTGCTTATGCTCTTGAATGTATCCATACATCAGTGGTGCTATTTCAGATTCTCTGACGACCGTGAGCCTTCCTAGTGTAGAGGCCACGGCCACCCCGTTTGTATGTATGCCCATCTCCCCGAGTCTGACTGCCCAACTTGTAGAGGTGCCCGGCAATATTTACTGATTAAAGTTATGTTCCAAGAAAGTGCCAGTCAGAAGCGGCGTAAGGAGGCTTCTTTCTCCCATCCCTGAGAACCGGGCTGGGGGAGGGCGGTAGGGGCCTTCCAGTCTTACTCCATCATTGACCTGATGAGACTTCTCATCTTCTGCATGTTCCACAGTGTGCATGTGCTTGGCTTGGCCTTTCCTATGTTAGCAAGTGCCATTTTACCATATCAAATGCTTGTGTGAACAGAACCCTAGGGAAAGCTGTACTGGGAGACAGGAACTAAAAACTAACCTGATATTGCTGGGCATGGTGGCTTAGCCCTACAATCTCAGCGTCTGGGAGGCAGAGACAGGGGGATTGCTAAGAGTTTGAAACCAGCCTGAACTACAGAGTGAGACATTCTCTCTCTCTCTTTCTCTGTCTCTCAAAAAAAATATGGTCATTTTTGCTGCAGGATTTGTTTGGTAGGAAGCACAACCAGGAAAACAGACAGAATCGGGCATTTGCTATCTTTCTCAAGGCCTGTGAGTCACCAAGAGTATCTGAGTCACTCATTAGCTGTCTCTAAGGATACTACTCAAATATAGTTTCCAAAATGTCTCTGTGCAGCCCAATTTTGCATTTAATAGTCATTCTATTTAAGATGTTTAGGTCTTTAAAATGTCAATGCTCTTTTTAAAAACCATTTCCCACACCAAACTATTCTCCATTACTTGTCACATAATGAGTTTATAGGGGAATTGACTGACATTTCAAACTATTCATAATATTTAGGAATGCTTGCCCCCACCCTATTTCATTTGCGATTCTCTTTGTTAAACTCTCTCTTCCTTCTCTATTCTGTCTTATTCCCCCACAGGGACAAATACCGTGGTTACATAATCATCATTTTCTTCTTACCATTTACCCCAGGTTTCAGCTTCTTGATGCTTCCAACTTAGCTTCAGGTTCATGATGATTGCTATACTCATGAATCACTACTGATGATTTTAGGGCCACATAACAGTCCATTACTAACTGGTAATTCTACCTCGAAGAGACAGCATGTTCTCCAAAACAGACCAAGAAGTACCACAGCTCTCAGATTCCAGGTAATCCTGTGTTGGCAACAAAACTGTCACACCTTAGACCAGAAATGCTTGGACAACAGCCAATGTGAGCTAGGTTGTGAATGTCCCGAGTTATGTATTGTCCAGAAAAGAAGTGCAGGGGACCCAGAGTCAGGGGACACAGAGCGTGTCCCAGCATCACTTCTGGATGTACAACTTGATGCTGCCTCTGTTCTCTTTGGGTTTCAGGCCTCAGTTTACACCAAATAAAAAACAATCGGAGGCAAAGGAACGGCACATTCTCGTAAAATCCTATGCCACCTCATAGCTTTGGAGCCGCTGAAAGTCATGTTTCTAACACATGGAATACATGTTTCTAACACATAGAATACATGTACACATGGCATATAAAAAGGAGCACACAACTATGCGACAGTAGAAAAAGGTCAAATTATGAATGATGCGGGCCAGCAGAAAGACTTGAGAAGATGAGGCATGTGCAAAGAAAACTTGGATTAAAGCAACAAAAATATAGAGTGTAAGCTACTTGCGTTTTAATGGCTCTTTTAAAGATCCAAGCAGAAATAAGCATACCACCCCTGCTAACCATGAGGTACAGTCAGTCATGCCTATTTGAGAACTTACCAAAAAATATTTTTAAAAAGTTTTCGGGGGCGGGGGCGAAGGAGGGAGAGAGGGTGGGATGGGTAGGGGCCTACAGCCGGGATACAAAGTGAATAAATTATAATAAATAATAAACAACAACAAAAAAATATGGTACTTCACTGTGTATGAGCGTGGCCAACAAGATGATAATTTGTCTACACAAGGTCATAGATTGAGTGCAATATTGCTCCCAATATGTCATTCATTTCTTAAGTTTTAAAGTTGGGGTTATGGTTTATGTAAATATTATAAATATATACTTTGGTCTTCCCAAGGCAAAATAATTTATCAATAAATCACTTATTGACAAATAGAAAGGAACAAGTCTTCTAGGAGAAATAAGTCTGTGAGATGACTTAGTGGGTAGAGGTGTGTGCCTGGCACTCTGAGTTCTGTACCCAGAGCCCACGTTAAGGTGGAAGAGAACTGACGACACAACACTCTCCACCCCTGTCCTGTCTTGCACAATCCTAGAAAGGAGAAATGATTCTCAAGGATATTATTGGAATATCAAAGTAAAGATATTTTGTGTCATATGTAATAAGCTCAAGATACATCGGGCCAGCAAGAAGGCCTAGAGGGTAAAAAAGCTTGCTGCAATCTTAACAACCTGTTTGACTCCCACATTCCTTGATAGGCAATGGATTAAAAGCAAATCAGTCCTTTCGTAAAAATTGAGCTTGAAACACAAATTATTGTGCTGATTGGTGTTTTCTCTAAAGCGCCTGCTAACTAATCAAAACAAACAAGCAAACAGAGAAAAAAACCTGAACCACACCAAACATACCAGAAGCTTCTGGCTTTACAAGTCCACATGCATTAGCGGCGTTGGCAAAGTGCTTGCCCTGCAAACATGAGGACCTGAGTTCAATCACCAGAACCCACGATTAAAAACAAAAAAAACCATAACAACGAGGAAAACAGAACACAGCACACTAGCTGGGCGTGGGCTTGGAATCCTAGTTGAGGAGGTGAAGAATCTAAGAACTGCATTGCTTGCTTTCCATCCGTAAGTGCTATCCACCCCGGGAGGTGAGGGGTAGAGAAAAAGCCAACAGGAAGGAATTCCTTTGCCTTGGACCGAGAGCAGAAGGCAGCAGTTACGGTCATGCCCATCACAGGCTGTGGGTCATGAGAAGTGACTGGAGGCAGGTAGACAAACAGCATCAGATAGACCGCACTCTGAAGAGCCCTCTGCCTGAGTCCTGGCTCCTCTTTTCCTTGGAATGTCTTTCTCCTAGTCTTTACAACTATTTTTGCCTTCTAACTAAAAGTAACGTCTCCTCCAATGTGATCCTTTTAAAGCTGGAAAGACATTCCTAGGCAAATTGAGCTGCACATTAATTAAACATAAGGACTGTATTTTGAATGTGGAAATCGTTGTGTGTTTCCCAGTAAACAGAAGGGAAGCTAATAAAGGCTACCTAAGTGGATTATTTCTGTAACGAATGGGAATTTTCAGCTGGAGTCTTCATCAACGTTGAGGGTTACTTAAAGGTGAATCACATGTAATGGAATGACTTATTTTCTGCCTGAACCCAGGCCAAACATTTAGTCTCCGTAATAAAGAACAGGCAAATTTAATTGCCCTGGGCATGATGCCTCATGCAGATGGCAACTCCAGTGTGGCAATGTGTATTCATTATGATGGCTGCTGTTCCTCAGGAAGGTTGCAGGGGCTTTGCACATCAGCATCTCCTCTAAGGTGGGGAATTGCGCTTAGGTCCTCAGGCAGACTAGGGCAGGACTCTTCCAATGAGTTGATTTCCCAGCCCCAACCCTGCTGTTTTAAGCACAGCACTGGGTTTCAATTCAGACTGTTCACAAACAAACAAACAAACAAACAAACAAACAAAAAGTCTCAATCCCCTTTTCCAGGTCATTAAAGACGGAGGCCAGTTCCTACCATGGTTTGTTTGATATTTCTGATCTCCAGGGCTTATACTGCTGCCTAGAGTGTGGGAGATGTTTGTTAAAAGTGAATCAGGAATCACTGAGGCCAGTGTTCAGGAGTATGCCGGCTTGTGACAGTCACATGTTTATTGCCTGTATGTTTATAAAAAAAAGAATCATTCAGAGTTAGTACGCGTATTCTCTTTGGTCTGAGTGCTGTAGTTTGACATTTTGGTGATCAAAGGAAGTCCAAGGGACCTTTGTACTTGGTAAGGGCAAAGACTATTTACATGACATTCTGAGCTAAGCCCCTTGGGAAGAATTCCGGTGACAGTCCAACAGCAGTGGATTGCAAAAGTCTGACATGAACAA